TTTTTTTTTTGACAACAGATAATGATTCCGAGTCTGAGGTGGTGACAGCTCATGTCCACCAAATACCTACTTACAGCAGATTTTATGAGTACCTACGAGAAAATTTTATGTAAGACCATAGTATTAAGTATTGTTATAAAGAATAGAACTAACAATTTGCCCAATTATTTCTTAGATAGGTTAAAGTGAATTTCTCCTAATAAAAGTAGGTTTATGTTTAAAGCCTTGTTTACTAGCAATGTCTCAACATAATGTAGTGTTGTGATATATAGGTATTATGTCTACATGATGTTCAGAGGTTCACTGTATCTTTTTAATATGTAGGCAGCTACAGTTCATATAAGGTTATCCGAAAAAAGGTAAAGAGACACTTTTCTAAAAACTATATTTATATGATGATCTAAAAATATGTATAAAAAACGGGTCGAGCAATTTCAACGATTGACGTACGAACTATAAACTAAACATGACATTCAAGATGAGCGATCGGGAAGCGCCAAATGAAATTAGGTTAGTTCTCCAGAACAACCCAAATTAGCGGTGTATACCTACGATAGAAGTGGGACACGTGAACGCGATATTGTATATCGTCAACCATTTGTTCGCCGACTGATGAGTGGGTGTAAAAAAGCCAAGTTAATAATGCTAATAATGTATGTAGATTATTTTCAGAATAGTGGCCAAGCCAATTTTGATGACCGGCACAAGTTGAACTAGGCCTCAAGCCATTTTTATGCCAACGGGGGATTTCGGATGAATGGCGAATTATCTTAAAGAGATTGTAATATTAAGCGTGGTTGCAAAATTTCTTAGAGCTCGGGACGTTGACCTAATCAATCTCTCGGGAGCTCTAATAAGAAAAACTATACGTCTTAACTTCAAATTATTGGATAAGTTTCTGGTAATCTTTGTATAATTTGCAAAACATTCCATTTTCTTTTGATTCTAAACGTAAAAAATACATTCCAGAGACATTTGTGTCAGATTCAATTTCCCTTAGAGAAGGGAAGATCTTCTGCTTAAAAATTGTTAATTAAAATGAAAAAACAAAGGGAAGTAACAAAGGTATACGTGTCAGGCAACAAATTATTTAATCAAAGGCAAACAATCTATATTTTTACAAGAGATAATCAACCTCGCCTTAAGGCTATATAGACTCTATATAGCTTCAAGGCAAGGTTGATTTTCTTTTGTAAAAAGAATTATTTAGATGAATATGTAGGAGTTAATTTCATAAATAAAATAAGAAAAAAATGTCTATGATCTAGGAAATAGTTGGTAGAACAACATTAACTAAAATGAGGTGAAATAAATAAACGAAGGGAAACAGGCCATGAAATTGGAATCATGAAAATATTCAGTAGTCTGAATTTGCGTTCGAATTTACGCTATTTGAATAATTCCGATAAAACAAAAAAAAATAAAAGAGAAATTCTTCATTCCACTAAATAACGTTCACTATTAAGTCCAGATATTTTTGATATGGTACGGCGCAATGGATTTTCCACCACTGGGAAGGGTATTGCTATCCTCATGATAAAACACCAGTTACACTTAGTGTGCTGTTCCTCGTGTTTTTTTTTATCTCTGTAATATTCCTCATATTGCACTATTGACAGGGTAGTCGTGGTCGAGTCTCGGTCGAATCCTGTACCATTGATGCAATCGCAATCCGTCGCCATGCAGCTCGATATTTTGCGGAGAGCAATCATTTACGCTGTAGTGCGTCCCCGATTTAATAAGGTCTGTCCACCGTGTCGGAGAACGATCGCGAGACCTTTTGTCCACAACTTTTCCTTGCACCATTCCTTCACATTTCCTTCCTTCCTTGTTATCATTACGAGTAATATACCCGAAGAATTTGAGAATTCGTATTTGCACAGTCGACAATACGACTCTTTGATGTTGAGTTCCCTCAGGATTGAAACGTTGGTACGGTGCGTGGTCCACGGAATTCGTAGCAAAATTCGTAATCTCTTTAACAGAGATTGAATAATCTACTCTTCATACCATCGCGTCCAGTTAGATTGGATATCGAAATTCATCAAAATACACCAGTCCATTTCAAATTTATTTAGATTAAGTATCCTAACCCAAATATTGAAACACAATTGGATTATTTAGTGTGTAAAAGATGAAAGATATTGTGCTTATATATTGCATAGTAATTTAATTAATAATATTAATGTGATGAAAGAAGACATCAACACATGTTTTAAATTTTTGATGTCATCTTTCAATTGAGAACATTGTATGAAACAAAACAGGGAGAAAAAAATAGCCCTTGCTGAGTTTCTTGCCGGTTCTTCTCAGTACAAGGTCTCCCGCCGTAGATTTACGAACCCATGGCGTAGCTTTTGACTTTCACAAGAGCTTGTAACAGCCTAGACTGAATAAATGAGTTTGAGTTTAAGAGAAATCGTTGAAATCATTGATTAACATGCAAGAATCAAATTAGAAGTAGAATTCATTGAATATATTATTATAAATCTGATTTAGTCGGTCTTCCATCCAATTTAAAAATATTTGTATTCGTAAATAACATTTGTGATGTAGCTATATCATAAGTTTTTTTTTGATAATCATGCCAATGTACTAGACCTACCTATTTCTTTTTATAATGTTTTCTTTATTATTTAAATTCCAAGTACTACGGCGGAAAATGTACATTATTCAAGTAACATCTCTGACATAAGTAGGTAACAAATATTTTGCTTGGTCTAGATACAATTTTTACATTGAATAATTCGCGATAAAATGATACACAGAACTCATTTATAATTTATTCTGCTAATGCATTATTGTGATCACCGCAATATTTCGCAAATTTCGTAACATTCACATTTAGGTCAACGTCCGTTTCACCCAAGAGAATTTTTTTCTTTGAAAAAATCACATTTCTTTGTGTCGTTAGTTGGATTCCTCTATTTAACACTTCAACTACATTATAATTGGTCACAAAAGAAAATTTATTTATGTTATAAATCACAAGAACAACAACGTTAACTACATTTTTTTATCGGAAAATTATTTATTTATTAATCATGCGGGTTCGTCTGCGTAGATTAAACGTTTTCGAAACAAAAGTTCATTCTATATTTCAGTAAATATATTTGGGATCCCAAAAACAATACCTAATTGTTTAACTATTATAAGTCTTTTTAATGTATCAAGCTATATTTTTACATGATTGCTCATCATATAAAGGAGTGAGGCCATATGCATATTTGATTATTTTTTAATGAAATATAATTCTACGTTATAAAATTATTTCTTTTTTGTTCACGGTTGTATTTTTTTTGTCATAATAATCCTAATCAAAATCATTTATTCATTTTAGGCTGTTACAAGCACTCATGAATGTCTAGAAGCTCCGCCATCGGTTCGTAAATCTACGGCGGGAGACCTACGAGAATCTACGACTGAGAAGAACCGGCAAAAAACTCAGCAAAGGCTGCTTTTTCTCCCTGTTTTATTATTTATAGAGGATTCAACATGAAAAGTGACTTCAGAGATGATTCCGGAAGTCAACTTTCATTACATAATGTGAAATATACATTAATTGTTCTCCTGCAATTTGATTGCTGTGTCACACAGTATATATACAAACTGTCACACTTGAACACAAGGAGATTTCAGTACCCTTAGCACAACCCATTTTCGAATTCGTAACGTTAGCGAGTACGAAATGTCACTGTCAAATTTTGAATGCAAACTTGAATAGCAGCGCCATAACAGATGTAACGAGAACTAAAAATCAGTAAATATTTGACAATGAAATTTCAACAAATTCGATATTGTTTCCTGCTAAGGGTACAGGATTTTAGGAGAGCAGGTAACATTGAGTTTATTTTCGGTATATTTTATATAACGAATCGAAATAAAGGTAGAAAGTGTGAAAGGTAAGAAGTGGTAAAGGTAGCTAACGAAAAGTTTATCAGTTTTTCTAAGCTTATATTAATAACTAATTTCGTAAATAATGAGAAAATAGAGCAAAGAAATAATCCTTTGGAGATTACTATTGTTTTTTTTAATGCTAAAAGGGTGGCAAAAAAGCATATGAACCGATTGTTAGTAAGCGGCCACTATAGCCCTTCTACAGACACTTGCGATCCCAAAAATATCACTCGGGCTGTTGCCTACCCTGACCCAATCTCCTACCCCTATCTTACATGTTTTAGCGAGGACACTAGTCTGTTTTAAATAATGGATATCAGAAAATCGCTAGTCGGTGATAGATATCGCGTACGCACATTAACACGGTCACTCTCGCGGACATTTGTTTTAATTTATTTTTTCGCAGTCTATAATTTCAGTACAACTCATAGGAATGGGGGAATTGGACCACGGTCGGATTTCGTAACGAAATGAAGGTCGAAACATTAATATACCATTATATAATACAGCTTCTGATTCTAGTGAATTACTGGCAAGAACAACGTTCTTCTTGCGAAGGGCAATAACAGCTGTTCATGTGATATACTATTTTACGACTCTTGTCAACTAATCTGCTATTTTTTTGTTAATTTTATGTGCTGAGAAGGCAACACGGGTTATAATTTTTAAGTGATCCATCATTTTAAGACTAGATCTTTGCGAGTGCCTCATTTATACATATATGTAGCCAGGGTAGAATATTACAAAACTCGCAGGAGTTTCTCTCACAAAGGCAGTACTATAGAAACGAATTATTAATGTATCTACTATCTAGTAATCATTACAGAGGTATATAGAGAAAGAAAGTAATCACAAGCGTTTTCACAAGTACACCATTAACTTATGTTTAAATGACAAGTTAAATTCATATTATTTATGTTTGTGTATAAATAGGTATTATTCTTCATGAATTGTCATTGATAGTTAAACAAACACACTTATAAAAACACAAAAACAACGAATTAGAAATAAAGTATTCATTGCGCATTCTGTTGATAATCCAGTGTAAATGAGATGTAGTAATGTTAGGATCAAAGGAAGCGTTACTTCTGATAAATACAAACCTTTCGTCAGGTTCTTTGGTCCCATTAGGTCTGGTCTTGGGATGGTTCTTTTTGGGCCGGACAGCAGCCTTGTGGCGAGCGGCCGACGAGTCCAGGAGCTGGGATTCCCCAAGGTCCAGCGTTGGGTCCACCCGGGCTTTCCTGAAGACGGGACTGGGTTAGAATGGTTGAAGTGTTATGGAGATTTAAAGGGGCTTTGTAATCAGACTTTTGAATTAGAAAATGAAGATTTTAAGCCTATTTGACATGCTTATCGATTTGTTTTGATAGTGTAATTGGAAATTGTATGAAATGGAATACAACTGGTCTTGTGGATTGCTGAAGTTCTTACTTGCTTATTTTGTAAATAAGTTGTATCATCCTCAAAAAACATATCATAGTTTTTAAGTTATTGAACCTACGTTCAAAATAAAACTACTCTTATTTTATAAAATTCATTTATCTGTAAAGCCATGTACAGAACTACACCCGTTGGCAAGTCACTGTCAGTTCTAGTTGAGAGACCGGCTTTGTCTCTTATTTATTAAGAATTTCAGTACTTAGATATTTTAATTTTCCTTGTTTGATATTTGATGTAAAATTTATTCTGTATATAATGTATTCAAAATATTATAATTTAATTAATACATAGAGATTATAAAAAGTAAGAGGACAATTTTAACCGACTAGTCTTATAGTAGGGGAGCCCATGCGGGGATTATGGGATTTAATTAAGTGCGTAAGAATAACATAGGGGGGCAACCTTGCATCTTGTGAAATGCTTTACTTATATTCTTGAATAATAGTCAAGTAGTCTATTTTAGTTGGCAAACCAACTTTTAAGTTTAAAAATATACTATAAAACTATGTCTTTCTAAGACTTTACACAACACACTGAGGTGACAGCTGTAGTTGGCCGGGTCAGAGCAGTCCCTTCTTGGGCACCGGTTGCACAGTAGAATCTCTCCATGTCTCCGGCACACGCCCCAAAGAGTAAGAGAGTTGGTACAAGCGCGTAAGCACGGGAGACAACTCCGTTGCACAATGTTTCAGTACAACTGTTGGGATGCCATCGGGTCCACTAGCTTACGGACGTCGAGTGATTGCAACTCCGCACGAACATCACGCTGCCTGATTTTAATGTCAGGCATCGTAGTGCCTCCCTCAATGAGGTGGTGTAGGTTGTAAATAGTGCCTCTGCACTATTTACAAAATTGTGCTATATAATATGTGGTAAGGTGAATTTAAGTAGTCGAAGATGCCCAATAACCCAGCGTTTTAAATCTGCTTTCTTTCATTATTTTGGAATTAAAATTAACAATCAAGATTAATCTTGAATATCCTTCTCCCTCCATTGCACATTAAATCGGGATTAATGAAGAAATTTGTTAAGGCTCTCAACAAAGATGGACAAGCTTTCAAATACTTGCGAAGTAAGTATCTAAGCGACGCCAATATAAAAGAGGGAATTTCGGACTTCAAATTCGAGAGATTCTTAAGGACCAAAACTTTTATTCGATTTTACAGGGCATCGAATAAGAGGCTGGGAATCTTTTAAAGCAGTGTTTTATGGTTTTTTGGGCAATAGGAGATGTTAAAATTATCACGAGCTTGTGAACAATCTTCAACAAAAGTATCAGCCAATGGGCTGAAATATGTCCCTGAAAATTCACTTTTTTCATTCTCATCTTGATTTTTTTCTTCCTAACTACGGTGATATGAGTGATGAACATGGTGAAAGATTTCACCACGACATATCGAAAATGGAAAAGAGATACAGCGGCCGATGGGATGCGTCAAAGCTAGCGGACTGCTGCTGGAACTTGATTAAAGATACTGTTCAAGCTGATTAAAAGATCCTAAAACGATGTACCTGATCCCAAAAGACAAACGAAAAAAAATGCTTGGTTGGTTGGTTAAAATGGTTAAATGCTTCGTAAATATTTTAAAATACAGTTTCATGAAAAAAGTTTAAAAAAGTAATGAATAACTTTTTTTTAACACCAGCAATATTTTTAAAACAAGAGTTAACTTTGAAATTTTGTTCGTACTTTCGAATTTAGTGCCCTGTGCTTTATTGTAAATTAGTAAAATAAAGCATTTATTTTAAAGGCAAACAAAAATTAAAATTTTGTATACCAGTGTTATTTAAGATTAGGTAATATCAAAGTAATTAATCAAACGACCTGATGATCCAAAAATCTAACCGTGGATCGAATTATGAATAAATTGGTGTAATAAGAACTCCTCTCTCATTGAAACTTCTAGATACACATTTTTTAGAAAGTTGACGAGCGTCAAGTGTCCATTGCGCGGTGTGAGTGGTGTTGGTGGCCCGTCAATCACAGCGGTCACCCGACACTGGCGGCTGGGTCGACATCTCAATGTCAGGGTCCGTGCATCCGGCAGCTCCGATTGCCTCATCAGATTTGAGCGGGTTATTTTTAACAGGTACGTATTTATAGAAGTGAAAATTGTAAGTAGCTACAGCTTGTGTATTGTGCTTGTTTGAATTTCTAGTCATTGTGACAATGGAATTTTTAATCCTACACGTACTTTAAGCTATTTTGTTTGTAATTACTTACTTGTTTTCAGAATGATAATGATAGATCCATCGTTTTCGGTACCTATGTATATAGTCGAGTTTTGGATTTATTCGAGCGCGGCAGAATAACATAAGGGGGGCAACCTTGCACCTTGTGAAGTACTTCCACCCAAGGGCGGATCCAGGGGGGCGGTCATGGGGGTCATGGGTCCATCTGTACCCACTGTGACTTGATCAGGACTATATGACCCCCCCTGGCGCCAAAGCTGGATCCGCCCTTGCTCCACCACCATACCTGAGCCCTCTGTGTAGGGCGAGCGTTTACGGCAGTAATTCCACAATCGGCCATAACTTTTGGGACGCGTACAAATCAAGGGGGCCTACCGCCTATCGGGATTGCTGTGGCTATAGCTGTAGCTTATGATTTAATTATGTTATTTCTGACCGCTGAAGGTTTTCAAATGCCACGCGCTATTTTTTTTGCATTGATGATAACAATATTAATGACAATGAGCGTGAGCTATTTGACAACCGATGGTGGTCAGAATAACTAAATTAAAACATAAGCTATAGAAATAGCCATAACAATACCGATAGACGGTAGGCCCAAAAATACTCTGATGATATTTTTTTATTTTTTTTATTAATTATAATAAATCTACACAGTCTTGGTCCGTACCCTTTTCATGCCCAAATAACATTTTTATGTTATTTATCTGTATATATTTTTTACGTTTGTAGAATTCGATTGGTTGTAGGCATAGATACTCTTATACCAGGATCTTGCAGGACAGAGAATTCGATCCAGGTTTTTACTCAGTGTATCTTGGAGCTGTACCTATGTTATCTCAAAAATAAAATTGATAATCCGTGTACTGTGCACATAGTCGCAGCGTGTCCTACTTAATGACATTACAAAATTAATTCATGTTTTAACATACATAATAGACGATGACAAAAATGAAACTTTAAGAGTACCAGGTGCAGGTTCCATTGATGCGTCCGCCCCCTTAGCTGATGCTGAGAAAGCCCAAAATAGAAAAACGGAGATGACCTATCCTATGATGATAAGATATCTATTAAGGCGCATTTCCAAAATGTTTGTGTAATGTGAAACCGTGGGATGATTTGATGAATCGATTTTTCCTAGGGATTTTGCGAAATCGCGGTTAATTAGACAATAGCGATGACAATGCTCAATCTTACTGTCAACGAAATTTTTTTCTGGCGTTTCGCCGGCCGTAACCGTTGCCGCTGCACTCTTGTTCATAATACTAACCTAACCTTGTGTTAACCCCATAACTGAAAATCCCAAGAATATATATGATAAGCCAACCACAACAATTCTTTTCGCCATTTTACTGAGGTGACTCGCGTTTTCGCAAAAATCTTATCTCTTTTCAGTAACATTGAAAAATGTCAAAGCCATTATCTAATTATTTATCCACGTTTTCAGCAGTCTCCGAAAATTTTGATCGAGGTGTCATTCGATTCGGAATGGCATCTAGATGATTTTTGAAAAAAAAATGAAGTTCCGCAAACAAAAATTGCAAAATTTATTAACAATTAACTAAAAAAAAGGGGGTTTCGTTTTTTGCAAATATCTCAAAAACTACTTAAGATATTTCAAATTAAAAAAAAGATTCAAAAAGAGGAGGAAATTTCCTAAAAAACTCGACTCCCGGAACTGTAGGACTAACATTTATAATTTTCCCAGAGGGATGAAAATACGGCCGAAAACGGGTCTTCTGGCTTGCGTAAGCCACGCCTACTTTGGGCACTTTATTAATAAAAATTATTTTAACATGTTAAATATAAAATGTAAGAAATGAAAAAAATCAGGGGCTTACTGGATAGATGAATGAACAATAATCCGCGTGATTTTTTTTTATCACAATTTTGCAATTAGTTATGCAATTGTTTTCTTCTTTGTTTAAATTTTAAAATATTTCTGTGTTTAATTTGAAATATCTTTATTAGTTTTCGACATTTTTGCAAAAAACGAAACCTATAACCTACCCCCTTTTTTTAGTTAATTATTAATAACTTTTGCAATTTTTGTTTGCGGAACTTCATTTTTTTCAAAAATCATCTAGATGCCATTCCGAATCGAATGACACCTCGATCATAATTTTCGGAGACTGCTGAAAAAAGTTGACCAAAAAGGCACTTGTTGACTAGACTAATTTGGGGACGGCGAGATGGGACTTCAATATGTCAAAAGGATAAGTAATTTTTTTTCCATAATCTTTTGTGTAGGTATATGCACAGGCATTTTTTCATAACACAACTTTTATTTTTGACTAACCTTAAATTAAAATTTACAAACGAAATTAAAAACGAAATATACAAAGTTTAATTATCGACCAGTCATATTTCCATCACATACTCTTATAAGTATTTATATTATGTTTCAGCCATCATCTTTCAATAAAACATATAGGGATATTTTTTAATATCATCGTAAATTAAATTTTAATTGTTGGGAATAGCATAATCATACCTTGCGACTAAAAGTCGACACGACGACGACGATGTTTTGAAAGTATTTTAAGACTAAAATATTCATAGAAACAATGATGGACGGTAATAAACAATAAACAAGAAGTCCTTACACCTGAACAAAGGTGACAGTTTGCAGTGACGCGCTATTTCAGGCTGGCCCAGAAACATCGTGACGTCAATGGTGGCACAGTTTCCCGCTGCTCCAGGCGCTCCAGGCTTCCCCCCTCACCCCTCTACACGATTCCCCTTTTGCCCAGTTACACTAATATTGACAGACACTGTTATTCTGATAGTCCAGCTGCATAATCTAATAAAACTCAAAATGTTAACGTGCTCTCTGTCTATTTTGCTGAGTGGGTTGAAATTTAACATTGTGATGTACATGTTAAATAATTTTCATCTTTTAGCCTAGACTTTCTATTTTAGGGTATGGTTTTAACAAAATAAATCTTAGAGCCCATATATCTCAGATTCTTCCTGTGATCTTTTGAGGAGGAGCTTCATTTTATTATTAAGGTTTTACTTTATTCAAATCAAATACGATACAGTTTAAATATAGTATTTTTATTACTATATTTAAACTGTATCGTAGGGGTGTAAGGGGTTCTAAATACACCTGCAAGAACCCAAGCCAACCTCACCTTCACGCGGTGCACCCTGTTGACCAACAGACGAGGCTCTGGCAAACCGACCGATGGCGGTATAACCATCCAACGACGTAGGGGAGGGAAATCTCACTGATGACGGGCAGCAGCGTCATCAGTGAATTAACCTACGTTCTGCGATCGCCAACCCGCCTGCCCAGCGTGGCGATTATGGGCAAAACCTTCAATGCAAACAAACCACAAGCCACGGCCCCCAGTTCCCGGCAGCTCCGCTATTCCTGGTCACGGTGGCGACCACGGTGACGGCGGGGCAGGGGGTGCCAAGAATCTCCGGGCTACGGGAGGCCACCACAATAGACTGACCCTGGCAACGTACAACGGACGCACGCTTCGGCTTGACTCGCATCTGGCGCAACTCGAGGTGGAACTTGGGAAGATTAGGTGGCACATTTTAGGGTTAAGTGAAGTCCGAAGAGAGGGGGAGGACACCATAACGCTCGAATCGGGCCACCTAATGTACTTCCGTGGGGGAGACCAACAGTCCCAAGGTGGCGTTGGGTTTTTGGTGAATAAGTCCCTTGCCGATAACGATGTGGAAATGTCCAGCGTGTCGAACAGGGTAGTGTACCTCATTATAAAGCTCACCGAGAGGTATAGCCTCAAGGTGGTGCAAGTGTACGCACCGACCTCGACACACTCTGACGACGAAGTGGAGGATATGTTCGATGATATATCGAGGGCCCTCCACTCCACTACCAAGACCCACTACAACGTTGTTATGGGTGACTTCAACGCTAAAGTGGGAGTACAGAATTGCAGCGAATCGGTAGTAGGATCCCATGGATTTGGAAGCAGAAATCATAGGGGGCAAATGCTCGTCAACTTCCTCGAACGAGAAGGGCTCTTCTTGATGAACTCTTTCTTCAAGAAACAGCCCCAAAGGAAGTGGACGTGGCAAAGCCCCGACACTATGACTAAAAATGAGATCGATTTCATCATGACGGACAAGAGGTATATATTCAGAGACGTCTCCGTGATCAACAGGTTCAATACAGGTAGTGATCACCGACTCGTCCGGGGTTCTCTGAATATCAACTTTAAGGCCGAGCGCGTCCGTTTGATGAAATCCAGGCTCCGACCTACTCTGCTCCAATCTATAACAGGATCTGAAACGTTCCAGTCAAATCTGGAGAACCAATTTGCTGCCGTGGAAACCACATCAGACGTAAACCAAAACCTCGAAAATGTGGTTCGGATCCTCAGGGAAGAGGGTACGAGATTATGTGCAACGCAGCGTAAGGGTAGGAAGTCAAAGCTTTCCGAAGAGACTTTAGGGCTAATGAAGGAACGACGTGAAAATCCACCCGTCACTTCGTCAGCAAAGCGGACTCTAAACCAAGAGATCAGTAAGCACGTACGACATGACCTCCGGTGCTCCAATACTCTCTCGATCGAGAGAGCGATCGAGCAGAATCGAGGGTCCAAAGTGTTCGTACAATCTCTTGGAAGAAGTCATCTGACGAAGTTGACCACACCAAGTGGGGAAGTTGTTGCTTCAAAGCCGGCAGTCCTTTCGGAAGTGGAAGACTTCTACGGCCAGTTATACGCATCACATGCATCTCGACCAGATCCCGGAAATGAGGATTCTAGAGCCACATTAACGCGTCACTTCACCGAAGACCTGCCAGAAGTCAGTATTGGCGAAATTGAGATTGCTCTTGGGCAGCTTAAAAATGGAAAAGTCCCTGGAGAGGATGGTGTTACAACAGAACTCTTGAAAGCTGGAGGTAAACCCGTACTGAGGGAGCTCCAAAAGCTTTTTAACACTGTCCTGTTCGAAGGGAGAACTCCGGAGATGTGGAGTAGGAGTGTGGTCGTCTTGTTCTTTAAAAAGGGGGACAAGACCCTACTCAAGAACTATCGACCCATATCCCTTCTAAGCCACGTCTATAAGCTGTTCTCAAGAGTGATCACGAACCGTCTGGCGCGAAGACTTGATGACTTCCAACCACCGGAACAGGCTGGATTTCGGAGCGGATACGGCACCATAGACCACATCCACGCAGTACGGCAGATTATACAGAAGACTGAAGAGTACAATCAGCCTCTGTGCCTAGCATTTGTGGACTATGAGAAGGCCTTTGACTCGATTGAGATCTGGTCTGTCCTGGAGTCCCTGCAGCGTTGCCAAGTCGACTGGCGATACATCCAAGTGATTAGATGTCTCTACGAAGCCGCCACCATGTCTGTCCAAGTACAGAATCAGCAAACAAGTCCCATACCGTTGCATCGTGGAGTGAGACAAGGGGACGTTATTTCCCCGAAATTGTTCACTAATGCAATGGAGGATATGTTCAAGACGCTGAACTGGAAAGGACATGGCATCAACATCAATGGCGAACGCATCTCTCACTTGCGATTTGCAGACGACATCGTCATCATGGCAGAAACCCTGCAGGACCTACAAAAAATGCTGAATGACCTAGCTGACTCTTCCATACGCATCGGCCTAAGGATGAACTTGGATAAAACCAAGGTCATGTTCAATGAACATGTTCTACCGGAACCGATTGCAATACACGGTGCCGTTCTCGAAGTTGTTCAAAAATACGTATACCTCGGGCAGACATTGCAGTTAGGTAGAAACAACTTTGAGGACGAGGTGAATAGAAGAATTCGGCTGGGTTGGGCAGCGTTTGGGAAGCTACGTCAAGTCTTGACATCGTCGATCCCACAGTGCCTAAAGACGAAAGTCTTCAATCAGTGCGTCCTACCTGTGATGACATACGGAGCCGAGACGTGGACACTGACGGTACGGCTGGTCCACAGGTTCAAAGTCGCTCAGCGCGCTATGGAAAGGGCTATGCTCGGCGTTTCTCTGAAGGATCGCATCAGAAATGAGGTAATCCGACAGAGAACCAGAGTTATCGACATAGCCCACCGGATTAGCAAGCTGAAGTGGCAGTGGGCTGGCCACATTTGCCGAAGAACCGATAACCGTTGGGGTAGACGAGTTCTGGAGTGGAGACCGCGTCTAGGCAAACGTAGTGTAGGACGTCCTCAGGCACGGTGGAGTGACGATTTGCGCAAGGTGGCTGGCAGGAGCTGGATGCGAGTAGCCCAAAATCGATCTGAGTGGCGTGCAATTGGAGAGGCCTATGTCCAGCAGTGGACTAGGATAGGCTGTTGATGATTTTTATTACTTCTTTCTGTGTTATTTAGTTAGTAGTATATGTTACTTATATTCATATTTAAAGAAATTAGGATAGAAATTGTATGAATTTTCATATACACAGTAGTTCAATTTATCCAAAACTGTAAAAAGGACTTTGGGCAAAAATTAATGGACCCTGCACCCACGTCCGCCATAGCTTAAACTACATTTGTTTGAAAGGTATTATAGTCATGATCATCTGTGACAAAGCGCATCAAATTCCATCCCGGGAGTCTTTAGTTATTTTAAGTTAAATATGTACAAATATTATAACGAACGAACATTAATTAAACAAGGGAATTAATTTAGTTAGTTAGTTCGACCCTCCATAGGTAATTTATGGGAGTACTTCACAAGGTGCAAGGGTGCCCTTTAAATAATTCTACCACATTAGAGTAAATCCAAAAATCCCCGTATTGGATGGGGTTTTTTCAAACAGTATGTTCAATATAGTAAATTGTCTTCTATATAAAACGGAGCTACCACAAATCACACAAACTTGCCCACGCTTTGGAGAAAACACGATTCCAGTTCATCCATACTAAATGACAAAACTGATAATCGTGTTCCAATGTCTAAAGCGTGTTAGATAAAAATCAATCAAGTGACAGGGAGCGCACAATCACAACGTAGTAAGACGAGTCGACTATTTGCAACTGCAAGTCCCTCAACCTCCGTAAACCGTTTTGAGGTATCTCAGTAAGTGTAAGCGCAGGATGGTCGGCAGGCTTTGTCGTATATCTGGTTGTATAGTACGATATGGCATATTATTATGGTTACTAATAATATAAAATGAAGGTACTATAAAATGATTTTTTATTTAGCTACTTAAATATGCCCATGTGTCTTAACTTTTGACTACCAGGATACTTTTTTACAGTGTCATAATAAAAAAGACTACTTTTTCATAGATCTATCGATTCATAATAATTTCATTGTTGGCGGAGCTGGGTGTGTTTTGCCCATTGTCCTTTTGGAATTATCTTCTATAAAATATTCACAATAAGTGGAATATATTTGACACTTTCTGGTAACACACACACACTGGTACACATAATAAGTGCGTTGTTGACTGTACTAGGTGTATAATTATGTATGTAATTTCGGAATAAAGTAAATATCACATTTTTTTATGGACTAGTGATCGATTATTTATTTATTAAAACTTTATTGCCAAACATTATTAAATGTCATTCTCTACCAGTCAACATGAGTGTTGGAGGCAAATGGTGTGGCGATAGGGCAACTTGCTAAAAATTTAATAAAATGAAGATTATTTACGATTTATTGATAAAATTATGGAGAAATAAACTAATTTAGGCAGTTTCGAAACAATTTTTAATTAGGATTACCTTTGTGAAGATTTAACATTATCAAAGAATTTTCATATCTATTTTTTTTAATGGGGTTTTAAGACTGTGATTTATTGTGAACTTATCAATGTGAGTCATAAATAAGACTATCCTAAACATATAATTGCGTCTGACTGACTGAGCACTTTGATATTCAAATAGAAAATTAGCATTCCAAAAAAGGAACCTGGTTCCCCTATTTGGCACGGTCCAGGTTTTCAGCTTTTAAACACGATTCTATTCAGAAAATTAATTATAGCAGTTTATTTTTACAATACAAACTTTTGTCATCTGCTTTTGTGCAGTGTTACTGCTCATTAGGTGTCAGCTTATAAAATTATATTATTACAAGATGTTTGAACTATCTGGTTTACCTGGGCGACTTGCTTGGCCTTTCGCCAAAATCAACTAGAACCTGGGGGTTTACCACGTAACTAAATTGATATGAACTTATTGAAAATATTGTAGTTATAAACCCATTTTAGTAACAAATATGGAAGAGTCACTAGCTTAACTTTATGTTATTTATACATTATTATTACATTATAATTATAATCATAATTTTAGACAATTTACTAGTTATTATTACTACTAGTAATTTACTACAAATCAATAAAAATATGATTGAAATATCAAAGTTAACATTAAGTTCATACAGCCTAGTTACGTGTTAATGGGGCTGAATTTTCAGGAAGAGGGGTTAATTCCCGAAAGGTAATATTCGTCAAGCAACTATGACTAAACATCACAAAAACTATTTTACATAATGGAAATTGATGTGATGAAAATTTACATAATGTTTTTCGTCATTTAAATTATTTACCGTCTTTATCTAAATTATATTTATTGAATTAATACGTCGGTGCTGAAAATATGTGGAACTGGTGGGAGGAGGTGGGTGAGGTGTGAGTCATATTCAACAAAATCATGTTTGTGTCCTATGTAAATTATCACTATTCTTATAAGCACTAAGGTGTATTGGTTCTGTATGAAACTGTATTTAGTAATAATAATGATAGTTGATCATACTTACATCATTATGTAAAATATACCTATAACACCGGCCTGTCCTATTCAGTAAATAAATAAACAAACATTTTGAGATCAGTTTCCAAAAAGCGAGTCTAAAAGAAAAGTCAATAAAATATATTTTATTTATTATTACATACCTTGCTTATAACAACTTAGGAATACACAAATACAATGATAATTTGATATGCTAAAAACACAATGACTGAATACTAATGACAAGCCAAAACAGTGGCATGACACAGTAAAATTATCACAACAGTTAAATGTAGATCACAACACGTAGAATAATGATAACATAGAACATAAATAATTCGTAACACCTCTTGTTCTGAAGCGAGATTATATACAATGAGGCAACGCGGCAATGATCTCATGAAATCTTGAATTCTTCATTCTTCTTCAGTCATGGTTAATAATAGTACATTCTGTACGTAGGAACGCTAAAGACATAGTCTAAAGACGGACCCCTGGACTGGAAGAAATGATTCTCGTAACAATAAACGCGCCCTCTGTACCTGCACCAACAATTTCATCTCATTACGTCATCAGTCATCAGGCGGTGCGATGGCAAACATGAGTGATGTGGTTGGTTAGATGGATGATGAGGTATTAAACACAGATGAGTGATTATATTTAGTCCAATGAAAACTTATAGGCAAATTCCCACGAGAAGTTGCGCAAGCGGCAGTGCATCGACCCCATCTATATTTACCCTGTATCCGAGTCCCATGTGGAATGTTTAGCGCATCATGAGACGAAAATCACAACTAAGCGCATTCTTGACATTTCCCTTGTGTGACCTACTTTTACAATTAATCTGTTACATTTAGAATTGCAATTTATTTTGTTGTATCTAGGGGAAGAGTTTTGCTTGGTAGGGTGATAATTCTGAGACATAATGTGGCTGTCAATGTTAATGTTAAGATGTTCACTGTGATTTAATAATACTATACGTAACTGCAAACTGGGTTTAAAGCCGAAGTAACGACTTCAGTTTCCCAAGAGTCTTGTGTCGGTATGGTTATTTATAGGTTATGGATTACATCAACTGGGCGCAGTTGTGCAAAGCGCATGCCACTAATTAACGAGGGGATGCCACTTACTTGGATCCAAGAGCAGCTTTGGTGTCGAGAACCTCTACGATGTCGCCAGCTTTAAGCGAGACTTCATCATCACCGACTGCCGTGTAGTCTGTGGTTGCAACAACCACATCCTCTACCTGTAACAAAAATAAAATATATATAGATATCGCTTTAGAACAAAATGTGTTAAGGAGGATGTCAGTGTTATTTTACCTTAGAAGGACTTCTGCTACAACTGGAACGAGATCTAGATAGAGATCGAGAAGGATATCTTTTATAACTAGGAGTTGTATCCACGCTACTCATTCGACTTCTGGTGTTCTCTCTATCCAATAAAACACCACTATGCCACCGGGACCATCCTCCAAGCTTTGTTATTCTCTGATGACCACTGACATTGCAATATCCAGTAAATGTTTGTAAGTCTTCGTCGTTATCATCAACAATAGGACAACTATACATCGAGAAACGATGTGCCGTTGGTTGACTAAGATTGAGGGCAGAGAATACGTGCATAGGTTCAAAGTGTCTAATGCCGTTTTCATCAAGAACTTTATAAGCTACTTGACCAGTTAAAACAGCACGACTAGCTTCGCGGGGTACTACAGCTTGTAATCCCTTTTTGATGATTAAAAGTGCACCAGAATGTTGTTTGCGTTGATACAAAAAGTCTTCCATTGCCAAACTATTTTCAGGGTGAAGCAAATTTATTGGGATTTCATCGGATGTCAGCAATGGAGATTCTTCAGGTATGATCATAAGTGCGGCACTTTCTCGTACTAGGTCTCTTAGCTTAGGATCAGTTCGAGCTAATTCTGGATCAGTTTCTAACTTTTTCAGAGCACTGTGTAAGCTTGCAGAGTTTTCTGCTAATTTTCGCATAACTGTCAATCTTTTTAAGACGCTGAGGCTCGTACTATCGGTTGATATTTTAGAAAAGCTTTGTTCGTCGTTTACTACTAATAATAATTTTGATGCAACGTCTCTCATGCCAAGTATCCTAGCGAGTCCAACAGACTGATTAATTAACTTTCTCAGATTATCTTTATCAGAATCTTGTAACATGATTTCCAACTCTTTACTACTGGCTTCTTGAACGGCAGATACTATAGCTTTATGAAGTGCTTCTGTTGCTTCGTGATCCGTTTTTATAAATGAAATTGAGTCGGATATATTTTCCAAAACGTGATGTAATAAAGATACGTCAGTACGAGATATATTTTTAAAGGCAGGTCCCAAAATATCATTCCCGCTGGTGAGAAAGTCACCAAATTTATCTATAATATCTTCTTCGGTGAAGGAATGTTTATGTAATGTATTATTTACTGCTAGTTTTATCAACTCCACTTTGGGTTCTGTAGTATTTTCAAGTATTTCTTCGCGAAGAAGGTCTTTTTTTTCTTCCGTTTGTAGAATTTGAAACATAGAGGCAACAAAGTCTTCGTCAATCGCTTTTCCCAGAATAGTATCTATAGATTTTAATATTAATTGATATTTTTCTTTTCTACTATTATTGTTATCTTCCTCAAATTGCTCTGCTGTTACTAACGCAGCAAGTACTGCAGCTGCGATAGAATTTTTGACATGTTCTTGTTGGGCTGATTGACCATTATCATTATTTAAATCGTTAACATTCTCAATATCTATTTTATTTTTTTCAGGTCGACGTTTTTTGTTTTCGTTCATGGAGTCTGAGTTAGTAGTTTCATGTAATTCACGTTTTAAATGGACACTCATCTCTATTATTGATGTAATTACATCCATCAACTGATTAGCTACATCGTCTTTCAATCCAAAATCAGTTACGAAAGCTTTCAACGCTTCAGCATTTCTGGTCTCATTTAAAATTACATTAATTGCAGGTAATTCAGCAGGAACTTGTCTGCCAATAGACATACCAGCTTCTGACAACTGTCTTAACATATTTCTGTCAATGGTTAACTCTCCTTTTGTGGATGTTGTATCATTAGGATTGGTTTTTACTTTCAGCAATTTAAGTTCCTCAGGTGTTACTACAAAACTTTGAACAGAAAATTCTAGACCTTCTTCCCCTTCTGTAAGGTCAGGTGCAACAAACTTCAAGCCTTCAGGAGTTTGAACAATTTGTCCAGGTACAAACGTCACTCCATGGTCATCCGTCTCAATAACTCTACCAGGTACAAATCTAGGTCCCTCTTCCGTATCTACTACTTGACCTGGAACGAATCGAGATCCTTCTTCTTCTGTAGAAATAACTTGACCAGGTATAAATGTAGGACCTGCTTTTGTTTCGATAATCTGTCCAGGTACAAAACGCGGCCCATCAATAGTATGTATGGTCTGACCAGGTACGAATTTCGGTCCAGTTTTCGTATTAACAACTTGACCAGGAACGAATTTGGGCCCATCTGCTGTATCTACTACTTGCCCTGGAACGAACTGTTCACCGTTTTCTGTAAAGACGATTTGCCCTGGTACAAATATGCCTTCCACCATCATTCCAGGAACAAAGCGAGATTCATTTGCTTCATTCTTAACAAGTCTTCCGGGTACGACTTTGCCTTCCATTTTGGGTATTCTTGAACCAGGATAAAATTCAATACCTTTTGCTGTTTGAATCATGTGTCCAAACACGTATAATGATTCTTCGGATATAGAACATGTTTTTATGTCAATAGGGAGACCAACAGGTGCACTTTCTGAGAAAGTTATATCTTCTAATGATTTAGCTACTGAAAACTCAACGTGTCCGTTAGCCTGAACAGTAGTTTTCCCTGGCATGAACTTATCTCCCACATCTGTTTGCACGATTTGTCCTTCAATAAATTTAGGTCCATCTATGGTGTCAACTGTCGTGCCTGGTACGAATTTTAATTTATCATTGGAAGTCGTTTTCGTTATGCCGGGTATGAAACAAGTTTCACCATTAATAGCTACAGTCTGACCAGGAACAAATTTCAGACCATTAGGGGTACTGATTGTTGCACCAGGAACAAAATGCAATTCGTCATCTTGATGTACTACCTGGCCTGGAACGAATTGCCACTCGTTATTTATTTTAGCATTTTGTCCAGGAGTAAATGTTGTTACGCCACTTTCTGTTATAGTTTGACCAGGAATAAACTGTACTCCTTCTGGTGTCATAATCGTTTGACCAGGAACAAAAACTTCTTCTGTAGCATTATTAATTACTTTTCCGGGCACAAACTTTAACCCTTCTTGGGATAACACTGTTTGACCTTCAACAAATCGGTATGATTCGTCTTTGGTTTTTATTGTTTGTCCACAAACGAATTCTTCACCGCTAGTGGTTTGTAAAACTTGTCCAGCTAGGAAAAATGGTTCATTTGTATTCTCATTAGTGACAATATGTCCTGGAATAATAGCTGGTCCTGTAGGAGTATTTACACTAAGACCTGGCACGAAAACTGGTCCTGAAGGTGTTTCCACTGTTTGGCCCGGGACAAACACTGGCCCTTGTGGGGTGTTTACGTGTTGACCAGGTATGAATTTCTTCGCCTTGTTTATATCTATTGTAAGTCCAGTTATTTTAGAAACCTTTTCTCTTTTCCCTTTCTTTATATTTTTAACCAATTCTGGTAAATTTTCCACGGTAGGGAGCATTCCAATGTTATTGTCATCATTCAACTTTTCAATAACATTTGCAGTTTCAACGAGACGTTCTTCATGCAACTCTTTAACTGCCGTCAGAACTGATTCATCGGGGCGCGATTTCACTGGTTTTAATGGATTGACACACGGCACATTTTCCAATGAGAAACTTAATTCATTGATGCTTTGATTTGTTTCATAGATCTCTGACTCACAGTGGTGAGGAGTTATTTTTACAGGCGTAGGTAGTTTATCAACTTTCGAAACAATATGTTCGTCATGCAGATTTTTTTCAAAAACATCCCAATCCCAGGACTCCATGATTGGGTGTAATTGGTCTCTCCAATCACCACTAGACATAACAATACTTGATTTTGAACGCATATGATTAATATCGAAATTATTTGAAGTAAAAGTTTTCACGTCATGTTTTTCATGTTTGCAAACATCTAACTTTGCTTTTTTCGCTTTTCTATCGAGACGAAGTTTTTCTTCTTCTAGCTCTTGAACTTCTGCTAGTCTTTCTTTATTTTCAAATATTTTTTTCATAGACGACAAAGCAACTCGTTTCCTCTTTTTCTTTTTCTCTTCTAATTCCTCTTGTTCTCTTTGTTTCAATACTTCAGCATTAGGTCCCTCACCTTCATACATTTCTACGTCATCAGTAAAGTCTTTAAAATCCATAGAAACACTTCGACCTTGTTTCATTTTGATAAGCACTGTATCCGAATCCTTAGCCAACATAACATCTCGGACATCACCATCACGGACTGCCGCTTCCATTTGGGCAGAGAAAACTAAACTACAACGTCTTTCTTGAACAGTATACACGTAACGCTTATCTTCAGTCACTTGTTTCGCCGTAAGCATATCCATCAACACTTTCTGTGCCTCTGTTGAACCATCAAGAACAGGGAAAATATACCGATAATCCGGTAACATTTCATGCTTACGGTTCCCGTAATTAATTTCTGGTGCGTAATGGTGCGGGCCGAGTTCCCCTGCAACATTGGTTATCTTGCATTTGGTTTTTCCCGATCGGGCTGTGAGTAGTACTGGAATGTAGTGGTGCGACGGTAAACCATAAGATTTACCAGTGATTCTGCAACAACGTTTTGCATCTGCCGGTGATATTGGAGCAAGGAGCGGAAAGTAGTTAGGCTTCGGCAGCCCTCTGCTGCGGCCAGTAATTCTGCAGAACGACATTTTTGTTTTGTTTCAAGCCGGCATAATAATTTTTGTTTGTAAACTTGAAGGACGAGTGAGTGTGTACGTAGCGATCGCGATATGTGCGGCGTCGGCTATGGTGCGCGGGCGCAAGTGTGCGCGTTCGTTCCCAGCGGAGCGTGAGGAGCGACTGGCGATGCGTCCTGGCCGGCTCACGACGCACGCTTCGGTTTGCACCTTCGTGCAGGCAGACGGTGTGCCCACCGTATACTTGTTCCGGTTACAGGTTATTTATAACCGAAGAAAGATGAATTTATTTTTCTACGCTTAAATTATATGACACAGTTTCATGACTAAAACAACGAAACGGCAAATCGAATGTTTCTTGAACGACTTTTTCGAAAGAAGTTATTTTTAACTTAGTTTTTAATTTTACTCTAAACATTGATTTTAACAAGAGGTGAATACGTAACAATAGAGTAGTAACGTGTGTCGTACTGTCAATTGCCAAAATATTTTAAGAAGAAGAAAATCAAGCGTCGACACAAATAAGACTTAACCTTGGCTTTAATAAATACAAATATTTATGCAAGTTGTTATCAATCCAATCAAAACTTATATTGCAAGGAAGGAAAATCAAATAAAAAATATGATAATATTTTTATGTCGATACAAAATGATTGATTTTACTCTCTAAAGAAAAAATTCACCCTTCCATCACAAGCCCCTATTTTTAGGGAGAAACGAAGTTCGTTAGACAGCTAACAGCAATATTTATGGTAAAACAGAACAACAAAACGACACTATTTTTAGGGGAAAAAAAGCATTTAAGACGACATAGGTACATAATAAATTACGGCGTTGTAAAATTTAATTATATTAAATATAGAGATAAATTTATAAAATACCTTCAACGTGCAGCCTCTTATTAATATACCAGCAATAAGCTTAGACTAGTTACACCGTGTTTTGTTCATATTACTCAAATGCCATTTGTCATTCAACGAACAGAGGCAAAACATCGAGTAACTAATCCAATCTTATTCTTCGTTTATTAATAAGGGGGTTAAAGTATAAAATATAACTTAGTTATTTTTCCTAGTCCAATGACAAAATCTAGTTGTAATGCGTTAACTTAAGTGTTGCGTTGCATGTTGTAATGCGTTATAGGAAAAAAACTATTTTAAGAAAACTAAAAAACAAATGCCGGATTATAACCAATAGCATGTGATGTGCATGATTAAAGGTGCATTCAAAATATTGGCTTATAGTTAAATATCATCATATTAAGATTAACTTTACGATCTTATATAAAATACCACATTATAAACCATAGCACATAAAATATTAGTTTACAAATAGCAAACACCAATACCCAAGTGAAGTGCCGGCTTTAGGGCCAGTTAAATTTGTAACACAGGGATCTACATAAAAAGATCCTAATCCTAACAAAAGATGAAATGAGTATGTATGTCTTCAATAAAAAGTTACTCTAGTTTTAAATCTACGTTTAATAAATTCCATTGTGATGAAACGTCATAATAACAAGACGAGATTTTTGTATGACGCTACTTGAATAGTTATTTATTATACAAGAGTGGAAAGTTCCTTTTTAACCGCGTGCTCGATTTGGATGACCGAGCAAGCGAAGGAAACAAACGAGCACAAGGTGAAAAATCTTTCCACTCGAGTGCAATACGTAACTTTTCATCCCACCTCAGCGAGGAAATGACAAAATGAAAAAGAAAACAATTTATAATGACAAAATATTTAAGCAATAAAACGTGAAAAACTAGAATGGCGCGAAGCACGCAAATAAAACAAAGAAACCAAGAAGGTTCCAAATTTAAATTTTTTCACAATTTAAAAAGTTCTAATCATAAATTTGGCACCATAGAGGTTACATTAAATAGGTTTAATGACGTTTTGAATTTACAATTATATTGAGTACTCATTATATGTGATGTTCTAAATTCAAATCTACTTTACCGCTCAAGCGAATAAAATAGAATTTTCCAGCCAGATTTCGAAGCGCAAAATTACACTTTCCGAGGTGGTGGGATGAAAAGATTATTTACTGACAACTTAATGACATATTTGCACAAAACAAAGAGATTGTTTGTCAGAAACGCAGATTACGTATTAAGAAAAAAGCTTTTGTTTTAGGGTCGACAATGTAACAAAATAAAACATAAATTTACAGACAGGAAGTGCATTGAACTTAGGAGCGCTACTGAAAAAAGTTATTCGCATTTTTATTTCAACAAGAAAATCCCTCAATTCCTTTCTGTTCACTGCAATAGTGGCAGGTTAAGGCCTTTATACAAAAATATAACACCATTGCTATATTGATGTCTTTATTTCATGTACATAGGTGCTATCTAAAAGCAGTTCTACGAATGTCCCATTTACCAGAGTAAATAAACTAAAAGATGATTCATATGTTTCTTAGAAGATGTCACACGAAGGTCAATGTTTTTATTTTAATATATTGTGCACGATTGTTTTATATAAGTTGATGGCAGTCGTCACAGTGTAATTGGCCTGTCGAGTGGAGTTTTCGCCGAGGTGACAGGGGCCTTAAGACGAGGATAAAGTGCTCAATGAAAGAAAGCTGAGGCCAACGGGATGCGTCTTCACATTTCGAAAGACGTCAGTAATTTTAGAAAAGTTCATGCGAGTTTCCTTGATGTAATTTTGAATGCATTCGTAGTTTCTAAGCGAATTAAAATTTTGTAGGCGGAAGCTGGAAATGCTTCTTCAAATTTTATTACCAAATTATAAATTAATAAAACATTTATTTAGTGTAAGGAAATCATTTACATACATTAATTTTTGAGTTATCGTCACAGACTTAATTTCCAAGTAAGTAGTACAGTTACTAGTTGGGGTAGAAAAATAGATAGGTACATAGATTTTTTAAAGTAAGGTCGCCTGACCTAAAGGGGTAAAGGGTTTCTATAGGGAAAGAGGATCAGTTTATTATGAATAATAATCTGTCACTTGATTAGTTAGAGGTGCTTGATGTCGCAAGTGGTTAGCACGTTCCGGTGCGATCGTTAAAGTTAAGCAACTTTCGCAGTAGTCCGTCATTCGATGGGTGACCAAAAAATTTACTATCTCGACCTCCTCCGTGCTTCGGAAGGCACGTTAAGCTGTTGATTCCGGTGCATCTGCAGTCGTTAGCACCCACCAAACCACACTGAGCCCACGTGGTGGGTCATGGCCCAATCTCCCAATTCCATTCGTAGGGAAGGCATGTGCCCCAGCAAAGGGGATATTATTAAACTGATGATGATATTAGTTACATCATCAGCTAATTAATATATACTTTTACAGTACGGATATTCGTCCTGCAAGATACACTGAGAAAAAAATATGTTTCATCTCGAAGGAAACATTAGCTGCTAAAATGTCTAAATAATAAGGTTAAGATTAAAAACGTACTTGAACAAAAGCCTAGTGAAATAATACCTCCACCCTTGCAAGATTGGCATAGCATTAAAGTTGTGATATCAGGAAACAGATAAACAAAAATAAAGGTAAATAAAACGCTGGTGTGGAAGGACAGCAAAAGCACAAATAGCGTCGCTGATAATATGATTAAAAAAGAAAGAATAAAAACACGCACTAGATTCCACAACTAAAATATAAAGTAAAATGTTTTGAGATTTTGGGTTTGACCATGTTCAAAAAGTATTTACCGAATATTAATTAGTCGAAGTAGGTATCTTTTAAGGAATCTAAAACTAAAAAAATCACTACGTAAAATTTTAATTTTAAATAGAAACTATTGCAACTCCGGAAGAGTGCTTCGGACACTTGACGACACCTGTTCGAGATCACTTCCGGCGGATGTTGCTTAAATAGAGAACACTGAAGTATATACAGGCTGCTAAAATTGTTACAAAAACTATATCCCTCTTATTAATAAACGAGGTATAAGCTTAGACTAGTTACGCCGTGTTTTGTTCATATCACACAGATACCATTTGTCATTCAATTAACAAAGAAACATGGAGTAACTAATCCAAACTTATACTTCGTTTATTAATAAGGGGGTTTGAGTGTTATAGATTTTTTTAGATATGTGACAATCACTAATAAAACAAATGTATAGAATGATCCCTGAATATTATAGCTAATAATATTCCGTTATACTTACTTTGGATTGTTGCGACTCTAGATATACAAATAACACTAAAATAATACATATATATTATGTAGCCGCACTTATAGGAAAATTATGAAAAAAGCTCTAATAGAGTTGCTATGTATGTAACAGAATGAATACATATTCAAAAATAAAATTATATACCTTTCTTTATCGGTTTTCTAATGTTTAATATAATATTGAAGTATGCAAAAATCTATTTTCTTTCAAAGGGGTAACTTTTAAGTTTTCCCTTAACCAATTAATAATAATGATTTAATCCTGGGCGCAACCTGTATATATGAAAGTTTAATTTTAGAAACTATGACATTGGTCACGCGCAAGTTCACCTCAAGACCAACACACCTGGCCACAAGCTGATGAGAGAATCACGGAAATAGCAAAAATAGATAAATAAATTGAAGGGGAAAAAAGGACTTCATTGACAAACTACGCTCATCAAAAGTGTTTACGCAACATACATCATTTACGCAAACTGTAAGTTTTATCAGTTGATATTTTATTTTATCGTTATGACATGTATAATATATTCAAACGTTTTATGCTTCAGTCATTAACAATAAAGTTGATTATTAAACAAAGAATAGAAGTATTAGAAATATTAACCATCAGTCGAAAGTTCAAACAGTTCATGTCGCTTTGACACTTTTGATAAAAATATTTCCACGAAAGGCTTTTTGCTAGATCTTTTACGATACCAAGCTCTTTCGTAGCTAGTTAAATGATTTTATTTTCAAAATTTCATTCTTCAACTGATTCATCTGACCAAAATTTAGTCTCACTTTGAACTCTGTAGCAGATGTTCATGCGAAAAAATAAGTTTAATAAAGTTTTAGATATATATTAGATAAATAAAAAATAAAGATATAAATATATATAAGACTAGTGGCCCGCCCTCGCTTTGCTTCAGTGTAGAGCTGCAGTGTAAATTATAGTTTTTGTTCATAGGATTGTATTATACACAATGACTTTCTTCGTAATAATTATAAACCTTCCATTCCAAGTAAAAAATTCGTTGTTTAGTTTGGGACCCGTTGTACTGAATGCAACATTGCTCTGCTGTTCCGATTTGAAAAATTATTTTTGTGTTAGACATTGCATTTATCGAGGA